TGACCCTAAGGGAATTTTGGAGAGAACACTTCAGCATCCTCCACTGCATAACCCTTATAGGTAGGCTTGGGAGGGGAGTGACTACAGGACTTTGAACTCTGCCTGGAGAAATTGTGGCCAGATTGTGTCGACAAGAGGGATTTTGAAGAATTTGGGACTGACCCTAATGAGCCTATTTTTTTTTTTTTTTTTTTTTTTTCAACAAGTCGGCCGTCTCCCACTGGGGAGTTCCATGGGGTTGGATGTGAGTTTGGAGGATGTGGAAAGAAATGGTGGACGACCACATAAAGAGCTCACCACTGAGGAGCCGCAAGAGCTTCAGCAGAAGAGCAACACATCGCAGCTCAATCTATGCTGCAGAGAGGAGGAAAAGAGAGATGGAAGAGGTGCACTTCTTCAGAAATTAAAAGAGATTTTTACTATGTGGGGTAAGATGGAAAGCTTTAATGGGAGAAACATCACCCTAACAAGGTTGTTTGCAAGCCAAGGTTGGCACATGTACAGTGACAAAGTCCTTGGGCCATTTTAGGGAAGGTAAAGAGACGCCAAAACAGAGCTCTCTCCACAGTTATTTTGTGAGACAGGACTCCCAGTGACTCTTAAGGTGGTCCTAGTTGGCATAAGAAACAGAGAATAAGAAGCAACCCCAGAAAAGCAAATGTACCTGAGGTGTTGATGAAGGGGATCCCCTTCCAAATAACTATAACAATACCACTCTCCTCCACCAGTCTCCCATACACTAAGAAGAATCTCCAATAAAGGTAAGTGTTATGCTGTTAATGTTTCATTCATCATTTCCCATTGTATTGTTTATGTACTACATGTATATTTCATGTTAAAAAAAATTTTTTTTAATACTTCTGGGTGTCAGGAACAGATTAATTGTATTTACATTATTTCTTATGGGGAAAATTGATTCGTAAATCGTAAATTTCGTTTATAGTAACGGCTCCAGGAACGGATTAATTACGAACGAGGGATCACTGTATTAGCAAAGGGTACAGTGGGGCTCTTCTGTATTAGATTTTTTCTTTTAACATGCTGGCCATCTACCACCAATGCAGGGTGACTCAAATAAAGAAACACTTGCCATCATTCATACTATCATTGTCTTTGCATAGACACACAGATATGACAGTTTAGATGTCACTAAACAACAAAACAGTGCAGGCATTGTACTGCCCACCTCCAGGACTCAAGTCCGACTTACCGGTTTCCCTGAATCCCTTCACAAAACATTATCCTGCTGACACTCCAGCAGCTCGTCAAGTCCCAAAAACCATTCGTCTTCATTCACTCTTATCTAACACGCTAGCACATGCCTGCTGCATGTCCAGGCCCCTTGCACACAAAACCTCTTTTACCCCCTCCCTCCATCCTTTCCTAGGACGACCCCTACCTCTCCTCCCCTCCACTACAGATTCGTACACCCTCCAAGACATTCTGTTTTGCTCCAACCTCTCTAAATGTCCAAACCAACTCAACAGCCCCTCTTCAGCCCTCTGACTAATACTTTTAGTAACTTCACACCTCCTGGAAATGGGAAGTTTAGTGCCTGCACTTTAAAGGAGGGATATTGGCAATTTGGAGGAACTTCTCAACTGTCATATCTGAGCACCTCTGCAAAGACATTGATTATGTATGAATAATGGTGAGTGTTGAATGATGATGAAAGTAATTTTCTTTCTTTTTGGGTCATCCCCCCACCCCCCTGCCTTGGTGAAACTGCCAATGTGTTAAAGAAGAAAAAACCTCCTCCTAATTTCCATACTGCGAATTCTCTGCGTAATATTTGCACCACACATTGCCCTTAGACACGATATCTCCACTGTCTCCAGCCGCCTCGCTGCAGCATTTACAACTCATGCTTCACACCCATATGAGAGTGTTGGTGCCACTGTACTACTCTCATATAGTATTCCCTTCTTTGCCTCCATGGATAACATTTTTTTTTGTCTCCACAGACACCTCGATGCACCACTCACCTTTTTTCCTTCATCAGTTCTATGGTTAACCTCGTCCTTCATAGACCCATCTGCCGATAAATCTACTCCCAAATATCTGAAAACGTTCACTTCTTCCATACTACCTCCTGCCAATGTGATATCCATTGTCTTTGCCTAACTTGTTTGATACCATCATCACCTTACTTTTATCTGTGTTCACTTTCAACTTTCTTTACACACCCTCCCAAACTCATCCACTAACCTTTGCAACTTCTTTTTTAGATATCTTTCTTTCAACACACTGGCTGTATCCCACCGAGGCAGGGTGGCCCAAAAGGAAAAACAAAAGTTTCTCCTTTTCTTTCTTTCAACACACCGGCCGTATCCCACCAAGGCAGGGTGGCCCAAAAGTAAAAACGAAAGTTTCTCCTTTTACGTTTAGCTAACATATACAGGAGAAGGGGTTACTAGCCCCTTGCTCACCAATGGCATTTTTAGTCGCCTCTTACAACCCCAATGTCTCACGAGGAGAATCTGTTCCACTTCCCCATGGAGGTAAGAGGAAATAAACAAGAACAAGAACTAGAAAGAAAATAGAAGATAACCCAAAGGGGTGTGTATATATATGCTTGTACATGTATATGTAGTGTGACCTAAGTGTAAATAGAAGTAGCAAGACGTACCTGAAATCTTGCATGTGTAGAGACAGAAAAAAAAAGACACCAGCAATCCTACCATCATGTAAAACAATTACAGGCTTCAGTTTTACACTCACCTGGCAGGATGGTAGTACCTCCCTGGGTGGTTGCTGTCTACCAACCTACTACCTAGGTTTTTTAAATATCTATTGCTGAAATGTAGGTTCAAAATAAAATTTTTCATGAACAGTGTTTTTTTGAGATTTCTTTTAAACCGTATAGTATTACTCAGCTTTTAATATCTTATGGCAGACTATTCTACATTTTTAGTACCTTTATTTCCTGAAAATTCCTATTGAGAGTTAGTTGAATACAAATATTAAAGATGTATTTGTTTGTGGCAGATGTTGCAAGTATATGGAATAGGTGGTAAGTTATTAAATGCTGTAAAGAGTTTTATGAGGATAGTGAGGAGCTCAGTTAGGGTGTGTAGAGAGAGGGAGATACTTCCCGGTAAAAGTAAGTTCTTAGACAGGGATTGGTGTAATGGTCACCATGGTTGTTTTAATATATTTTATAGATGGGTTGTAAAGGAAGTAAATGCTAGGTTGTTTGGGAGAGGGTGGGATTAAATATGGGGAATCAAATTCAAAATGGGAATTGAACACAGTTACTTTTTTTGTGAATGATACTGTGCCTTATGGAGATTCTAAAAGAAAAATGCAAAGGTTAGTGGATGAGTTTGGGAATGTGTGTAAAGGTAGAAAGTTGAAAGTGAACATAAAAAGAGTAAGGAGATGAGGGTGTTCAAATGATTAGATAAAGAAAAATTGATTATACAAATTGGGGAGAGGAAGTATGAAGAAGTGAATGTTTTCAGATACTGGGAGTTGACTGTCGGCGGATTGATTTAATGTAGGATGAGGATAATCATAGAATTGATGAGGGAAAAAAAGGTGAGTGGTGCGTTGAGGTATATGTGGAGTTCAAAAAACTAACTATGGAGGCAAAAAGGGAATGTATGAAGTAAGTATACCGAAAACACTCTTATATGGGTTGAAGCTTGGGTGGTAAATGCAGCAGCGAGGAGACGGTTGTGGCACGGAGATGACCTGTTTAAGGGCAATGGTGGTGGTAAATATTATGCAGCAAATTCGGAGTGTTGGAAATTAGGAGAAGGTGTGAGATAAAAAAGTATTAGTCAGAGGGCAGAAAAGGGGTTGTTGAGGTGGTTTGTTCATTTAGAGAGAATGGATCACAGTAGAATGACATGGAAAGCAATAATCTATAGGGAAGGGAAGGCGGGGTAGGGGTCGTCCTCGAAAGGGTTGGAGAGAGGGGGTAAAGGAGGTTTGTGGGTAAGGGGCTTGGACTTCCACAAGCGGCGTGAGCGTGTTAGATAGGATGAATGGAGACGAATGGTAAACTTTCTTGGTACCTGACGATCTGTTGGAGTGTGAGCAGGGTAATATTTAGTGAAGGATCAGGGAAACCGGTTATTTCATATAGTCGGACTTGAGTTCCTGGAAATGGGAATACAATGCCTGCACTTTAAAGGAGGGTTGGGATATTGGCAGTTTTGGAGGATATTTGTGTATCCTTTATATGTTTAATGCTTCTAGACTGTTGTAATTTCTGAGCCACCTCTGCAAAAACAGTGATAATGTGCGAGTGTGGTGAAAGTGTTGAATGATGAAATGAAGTATTTTCTTTTTGGGGATTTTCTTTCTTTTTTGGGTCACCCTGAGCCGTCGGTGGAGACGGCCGACTTGTTGAAAAAAAAAAAAAAAAAAAAAAAAAAAAAGTATTTGTTTGTAGCTTACTGCCTGTTTATTCTTTTGTAGCATTCAAGAAGAGTGTTTGGCCTGGGTCTACATAACACTTTAGGGCCTTGAAGATGTAGAATGAACATGAGAATTTATTAAGGGTTTTTATATTTTGTAGACTTAGTGATTTGAATAGTAATAAGGTATCTGTATGAGTTTTAATCATTATTATAAAATGTTAGGTGAGGGTTTAATAAAAAAAAGTTGAATTATGGGATATACATTGTTACATTGTATGGAGAAACTTAGTAAAACATTACAAAAAACAAATAAATAGGTTGTAGAGCCTTCAAGAGGTTCCTTGATGTAGGTGAATCTATCTAAGGAACTGGAGCTACCCTTTCTTTCCTTATATCAAACTTGATTTCCTCCTATTCTCCAGGTATTGTGTGGTCCCTACTTGTTTGGGTTTTTTTTCATGATGTATAATAATAAGTAGAAGATGGAAGATATAATTTGTACACCAAGGTGAGCTGACTTCCTGGATATTCTTATTAATTATGGGTAATTTTATTTATTTATTTATTTATTTATTTTTTATTTTTTTTGCATTATTAATATATTTTAAACATTTTCTCTTTAATACGTAGATCGGTTCGTGAAGCATGGATTAAGGCAAAGTATGTTACACGTCAGTTTGTGAAACCACTGCCTTTAATCCAGGAATCCAGTTCCCCTTTACCAAACTCCAGTTCTCAAGAGAAAGTAAGTGTTATTTTTTTAAATTTTAGTACTGGAAATGTATAGTAATTTTTTTTTTTCTTTCTCACCTGCTGTCTCCCACCAAAGAAATGTATCCTCATGTGTTGTCGAATTCACCATTAGTGAGTTTACACTTGTGCTAATGAAAAATGTAAGACTGATATTTTGAGGTATGTTGGGGACTGCAATTTTTATACGTCTCCACACTGCCAACGTGTTTGAAAATTGTAATGAGTAGGCGAAGCTTGAAGAAAAATTGCAGACCGCTCTTACAGTTTTCTCGCTTAAGAAGTATGTACATACAGTCTCTATAGTCAACGGGAAAGAAACTCTGATACATAACTTCAGTTTATGTGGTGCAACATACACCATTCGTGAGAAGCTCTGCTTTAATATCCCATGACGTTTTGACACACATCATTTTAACGTATACTGTACACTATTTACTATTACACGTACAGTATTACAGTACACCATTATTCTTTGTATTTCATTGGTAGCTGATGTATAATGCAGAATGTTTAACATGTGCATTTGAGCTAAATATTTTTTAAATTTAGAATGAGATGTGGGGTTTCTAAGAGTATTATCTAGAGTGCCGAGGAGGGGTTGTTGAGGTGGTTCGGACATTTAGAAAGGATGGAATGAAATAGAATGACTTGGAGGGCGTATAAATCTGTAATGGAAGGAAGGCAGGGTAGGGGTTGTCCTAGGAAAGGTTGGAGGGAGGGGATAAAGGAGGTATTGTATGCACAAGCATGTTTAGATAGGAGTGAGTGGAGAAGTAGCATTTATAAAGGGATTCTGGGAAACTGGTTAGCCAGACTTGAGTCCTGGAGGGGGAAGTACAGTGCCTGCACTCTGAAGGAGGGGTGAAGATATGGTGCAGTTTTTTTAACTGTAGTGTAGGTGTGCTTCTGGCAAGACATTGGTGGAGTGAATGATGAAAGTGTTTCTTCCTTTTCAGGTCACCCTGCCTCGGTGGGAAACAGCCAATGTGTTAATTAAAAAATAAATAGTTTTACATGTTTTTATTACAGTGTTTGTCAAATTTTGGCCTGGAATCCATGACCCCTTAAAGCTCCTCATAAAATTAGAATAGATTTGCATGTGAAATATATGAAAAATTAAGGACTTTACCTGCAAAAAGTTGGAGTTAACCTGTATGGTACACAAAACTTATCTATATTCAAATACTGTATGCAGTATATGGTACATCACTAATTAATTATTAATGCAGAATATTGGCATGAACACATTTCTGAAATAAAATAACTTTGCAAGATCCTTATCAATGAGGTATTCCTGTACATGTTGCGGAGTTTCACGATGTGTGTGGAAGCAACATTACATACACAATGCTTGTCAAAGTTTGTAGTGTGCTGTAATTGATTAGACTACGCAGAATGCCAGATTATACCTAATAAAATTATTTAAATTATATATTCTATTTTAGGTGAATCATTACAGTTATCTTCAGATTACAGATTTTGCCATCTCATGTATGATTTCCTAATTACATTAATAAATCCTGCCATTTAGTACACTGCATCATATTTAATGAAATGAAGTTATAATTAATTCACCCTGCCTCGGTGGGAGACGGCCGACTTGTTGAAAAAAAAAAAATGTAATGCTAACTGTTGGCTATTTTTAGGTTCATTCAGGAAAATCTTGGAGCATCCCTCGTCGGAGGCGACAGATACGGCGAAGGAAAACTCTGCAAGCTTGTCAAATAAATGTTGAGGAGACCTCTAGCATTGATGACAATAGTAGTAGCCAGGAAGAATCTCACACTGAAACCCAGAATGTGTAAGTTTCTGAAGCATTGTAACAAATTTGTCTACTGAGGAATGAATTCAGACTTAAGTTTGATGTGAAAGAATTTAAAGTACGCAGTGAATAATGATAATATACTCTAGAAATGTAGAATTGATGTTATGTACCTGATATAAAGAAATGATGCATTTTCAGTTTTGCCGGAGGAATCCATAAATTATTTTCTCTAATCAGTTTTCATCCACGTGACTTAATTTATAGTGCTGTGACCTTATCAGTTTAAGCGCTTAATTTGATTTCATTATTCTTCTTTTAACAAAGATAGTAAGGAATTATTATGAACAGTAATAATAATAAAAATAATAATAATAAACCATTACTACAAAATATTTAGTAGTGACAGCCCAGTAGCAAGCAGCTCCAGTTCCAGTGATGTATTGCTTCTGGACATTGCTCCTTCTCTTCCCAATCGGACAACTGAAGACTTTTCTAGTTTAAGTGATGACTGCTCTACAGATGGAGAAGGTCCTAATGGTCATGGTAATTGGTATTTATCAAATCATGCTCATGTTAATACTGGTAAATATATTTTTTTTTTTAACATTCTTTATCCCGCTGAGGCAGGGTGACGTAAAGAAAAATGAAAGTTTTCTCTTTAAATTTAGTAATTTATACAGGAAAAGGGGTTACTAGCCCCTTGCACTTGGTAAATATGTACTTGCAAAAATAAGTTTTAAAGATACATAATTGGATGTTTTTATTGTAACCTAAATGTGAAAATTCCAGAAAACATTCAGTAACATTTATTTTATCTCATAATTCATTTTAAGAATTGAACAATGAGGAAATATTTTGTAAATTTATCCTTTTTTTTTTTTCAGTTACTCCAGAGTCAGCATCAAATTTGACTCCAAATATGGTATTGTTTCGAGCCTGTGAAGCTCATAATTTGGCAATGATGAGTCATAGCATAGCACTAGGTGCTGAAAAGAACTGGCATAACCCAGATGAAAGTGGACGGACTCCAATGCATCAGGCAGTTATAAGTGTTCGTATTAGTCTCAGTTTTTATATCTAGAATTTTTTAATCATCATGGGGTGCCTCTGCCTATTAATAAAATTTTCAGCTTTCTTGGGCCATCCCTGCCTACCAATAAAAGTGTCAAAATTGTATAATTTTAAGCAGTCATCTTTTGGTAGATTCCACCTTATATCTTCATGATCATTTAGGAAAAATGGTGAGTGGTGCATTGAGGTATCTGTGGAGACAAAAAATGTTATCTATGGAGGCAAAGAAGGGAATGTGTGAAAGTATAGCGGTACCAACACTCTTATATGGGTATGAAGCTTGGGTTGTAAATGCTGCAGTGAGGAGGCACCTGGAGGCAGTGGAGATGCCCTGTCTAAGGGCAGTGTGTGGTGTAAATATTATGCAGAGAATTTGGAGTGTGGAAATTGGGAGGAGGTGTGGAGTTACAAAAAGTGTGAGTCAGAGGGCTGAAGAGGGGTTGTTGAGTGGTTTGGTCATTTAGAAGAATGGAATCAAAGTAGAATGACTTGGAGAGCATATAAATCTGTAGGGGGAAGGAAGGGTGTTAGTCAACTGTTGTGGTCACATCCTGGGGGGCAAGATTAAGGACCCCAATGGAAATAAGTTAGACAGTCCTTGATGATGCACTGACTTTCTTGGGTTATCCTGGGTGCCTAACCCTCTGTGGTTAATTGTTTCTCGGTAATTGTTTCACGTTAAGCCACACCAACAACACACACTCCACATCTTCGAGTAATACAGCTGATGGTGGTGCAGCAACAACAACAGCTGACTGTGGTGCAGCAACAGCTGACCATGGTGCAGCAACAGCTGACCATGGTGCAGCAGCAGCTGTGGAGCCTGTGGTGCAGCAACAGCTGACCATGGTGCAGCAGCAGCTGACTGGTACGATAGTATTTATCACCCTTTTTACAACTGGGTTGGCACTAGAAGCTTTCTTTGGGCCCATGGTGGCTTATTTAGAAGTTACAAGCACTATAAATAATGGAATAATACAAAATGTATCGAATGTATGCATGCAACCGGCCACCCTGGCTTGTAAACAATGACGGCAAGGCAGGCGCTCAGGCTGGACGGACAGGTTCGGGATGAGTCATGTTCAGAAACAGCTGATGGTGGTGCAACAGCAGCTGACCGTGGTGCAGCAGCAGCTGATCCAGCAACAGCTGACTGGTCCAGCAACAGCTGAATGTGGTGCAGCAGCAGCAAACTGATCCAGCAACAGCTGACTGGTCCAGCAACAGCTGATCGTTGTGCAGCAGCAGCTGACTGATCCAGCAACAGCTGACCGTGGTGCAGCAGCAGCTGACTGATCCAGCAACAGCTGATCGTGGTGCAGCAGCAGCTGACTGATCCAGCAACAGCTGACTGGTCCAGCAACAGCTGATCATGGTGCTGCAGCAACTGACTGATCCAGCAACAGCTGACTGGTCCAGCAACAGCTGACCATGGTGCAGCAGCAGCTGACTGTGGTATGATAGTATTTCTCACCCTTTTTACCCCAGGGTTAGCACTAGAAGCTTTCTTGGGGCCCATTGTCACTTATTTTGCAGATGAAATCACCAAAAACGCTGTAATAATATGAAATGTTACGATTGTATGCTTGGTTGTTACCGCGGAGGCTGGCTTGTAAACAATGCCACCGGCGGAACATGTGAGGCTGGCTCAGGCCGCACATTAGACACGTCTCGGACCAATAGCGTTGAGCGAGTTTTTTAGCAGTATGTGAGGCAAAATTTTAGCGATAAAATGTATCGGTATGCGGATTTAACGTTATGTGATGCCAACGGTATGCGAGGGTCCACTGTACAGTGTTTCAATCAGTCATGGTTTGACGAATAATGGTGTATATGTATATGAACAGACTAGTTGTCTCTTTTTTAGATATTTTGGTTTTGGATGGGGATTCCCCTTTTTTTTCCCAAGCCTCTTAGGATAATTCTTTCCCTAATGCAAAATGGCACAGAAATGAGGATGATGTATTATACTTATAGTTTAACCCATAAACAGTCCAAATGTTTCAACATTTGAAAGTATGTAAAAAAAGTAGATCTTCCTTTTGTGTTCTTACATTTGAAAATGAGTAAAAAAACTTTGATCTACTTTTTTTTTTTTGTTTGAAAATATGTAAAAAAAACGTAGATCTACTTTTGTAGCACTACACATGTGAACGTAGATCTGCTTGGACCGTTTACGGGTTAAGATTAAAAATTTTTTTTTTTTGACAAGTCAGCCATCTCCCATCGAGGCAGGGTGACGCAAAAAGAAAGAAAATCCCCAAAAAGAAAATATTTTCATCATCATTCAACACTTTCACCTCACTCAGACATAATCACTGTTTTTGCAGAGGTGTCCAGATACAGCAGTTTAGAAGCATATATGTATAAAGATATATAACATATCCCTCCAAACTGCCAATATCCGAAACCCCTCCTTTAAAGTGCAGGCATTGTACTTCCCATTTCCAGTACTCAAGTCCAGCTATATAAAAATAACTGATTTCCCTGAATCCCTTCACCAAATATTACCCTGCTCACACTCCAACAGCTCGCCAGGTCCCAAAAACCATTCGTCTCCATTCACTCCTATCTAACATGCTCATGCATGCTTGCTGGAAGTCCAAGCCCCTCGCCCACTAAACCTCTTTTACCCCCTCCCTCCAACCTTTTCGAGAACGACCCCTACCCCGCCTTCCTTCTCCTACAGATTTATACACTCTCCATGTCATTCTACTTTGATCCATTCTCTCTAAATGACCAAACCACCTCAACAGCCCCTTTTCAGCCCTCTGACTAATACTTTACTAACTCCACACCTCCTAATTTCCACACTCCGAATTTTCTGCATAATGTTTACACCAAAGATTGCCCTTAGACAGGACATCTCCACTGCCTCCAACAGCCTCCTCACTGCAGCATTTACAACCCAAGCTTCATACTCATATAAGAGAGTTAGTACCACTATACTTTCATACGTTCCCTTTTTTGTCTCCATAGATAACGTTTTTAAGATTAAATATTTAAATCAAATTTAATTACAGTCTTACTCCATTCACTTAGTCATAATTTTTGAGTCAGTTTTGTACTGTAGATGCATCACCAACCTATAAATTGTTATCAGTATAAGAGTCTCTATTTGTAGGGTTCTGTAATGGCTGTGCAACATCTTCTAATAAATGGGGCACGACCCAATGAACAGGACTCTTCAGGATGTACACCATTACACCTGGCAGCATTATTGTCAAATATTGGCCAAGTAAGTGCTATGATAATGAGTGTTTGTGCCAAAATTGTGGAATGTTATAAATAATTTGATAATATTGGTTCTCTTATAAATAGGAATATGTTGACTATTATCATTATTATTTTTTTTTTTATCACCAGCTGTCACCCACCAATGTATTGTGATCCAAAAAAAGAAACACATTCACCATCATTCATTCAGTAGCTGTCTTACTAGAAATGTGCAGACATCACAATACAAATAACCGTCTGACCAGTGATGCCCTCTCTCCTCAAGAGTGCAGCATTGCCCACCTTGCCAGTTTCCTCAAATTCCATCATAAATGTTATTACCTATTTTTGTTGTGTTAATAGAAATCAGTCAGGACATCTGGTAACATAAGCTGTACTTGTATTGCTTGATGTCCTGGTAAACTGATTGAGAAGTCATCACACTTTTGGCAAGACAGGGATTGAATGAATGATGGCATATGTGTTTCTTTTTTTGGGGGAGGAGGGGGAGGGTCACCCTGTCTTGGTGGGAGACAGCTGTTGACGTAAGGAAAAAAAAAATAAATTTTTTTATGGTGTTTATGTTATAGAATCATTAAAATTGCTTTGTTACAGGTTTGCTTATTGTTGAAGCACAGGGTGGACCTAAATTTGTGCAATAATGAAGGTCTGAAGGCTATTGACATAGCCCTTAAAAGCAGTGAACCAATTTGTAACTCGGGTAAAATTAAGTTGTACAGCGGGGCCCCCACTTATAGGGCAGGTTGGTTCCAGGCTACCCCCGAAAAGGGGAAACCCCGTAAAGGGGGAACCCCCTTTTTTTTTCCCTTAAAAATCATACAAACACTAGATAACAAGTTTCACAAACTATAAAGTTAGCAATAGAACCAGGCAGCAGGGTAATATTTAGTAAAGGGGTTTCGGGGAAGGGTTTTTTTCTATAGTCGGACTTGAGCCCGGGAAAATGGGAAGTCAATGCCGCATTTTAAAGGAGGGGTTTGGGATATTGGCATTTTGGGGGGAAATTGTTGTGTATCCTATACTAATGTTTTCTAAACTTTATATTCTGAGCACCTCGAAAAAGCAGTGATAATGGTGAGTGTGGGAAAGTTTGAATGTGATGAAAGTTTTTTCTTTTTGGGATTTCTTTTTTTTTTTTTGGGCCCCCTGCCTCGGGGGAGACACCGACTTTGAAAAAAAAAAAAAAAATACAATCACACAAGTGCCTATTACTTACCTTAAAATTTTATGTCTTAATTAGGGTGAGAAAAAGTAGTATTTATTGAAAAATAAAGTGTGGTGTTGAAAATCACCCAGGCTCCTTTACCGGGCCCCCCCACCCACACATACTTTTTAAAGATTTTTAACACCCCAGGGGATAAAAGTATATACAGTTCACTCATTACTTACCTTTAAAAAATAGGGGGAGAGTTTAGTATTTATTGTAAAAAAAACAAATGTGGTATGTTGGTAGTCAGCCGGGCTGCCCTACCAGGCCAAAACCCCCCCACAATTATTCTTAAAATTTAAGCTTCCCCGACGATAAAATTTATAAGTTCACTCTTTTCTTACCTTAAAATATTTTGTTGTCTTTAAAGTGGGGCAGGATAAAAAAATGAGTAAAAAAAATAAATGAGAAGAGAAAGAAATTTGTACATGAGGGGGCGGCGCCCCGAGTTTTTGTAAACAAACCAGGCGAACTAATTTTTGTAAACAAACGAAGTGTACACGTCTGTTTGTGTACAAGTTACATTGTGTACAGGTTGTCTCTACATTGATACGGTAGAATTAATAAAGAAGAACACTCCCATTCTCATGTAACATCATTTTGAGAAGAAATAAAGCTCTGAGTGAAGGGCAATGAAAATAAGTCACACTGACTTTTTTGGGTTATCCTGGGGTTCTCTACACATATGTTGTTTTTGTATGATAATCTATGTAACGTATTTGTGTATACCTGAATAAACTTACTACATACATACGAAAGGAATAATTTTCTACGTTACCCCCAGTAACACATTTTCTCTTATGTTAGATTAGAGAAAATGTTATTCTTGCCGTCACCTTGTACAAGTTTCTGGCCCCCAAACATTTTTATATTTTATGTTTATTTATTCTATTGTGGGGTGTTTTTTATCATCTTTTATTTTTATGTATCGTGTTTATTATATAATTTTAAAAAAAATATCATGGATGGATTAATGAAAATGTGTATTTTTAACGTAATATACGACATTTAATGAGACTCGGTGAGTATTGTTATTATTATTATTATTAATATTATCATTTCTAATATGGCGTCACTTGTGCAAGTCGTCTGCTACCACATCTCACATTTATGTTTATTTATTCTACTGTGGGGTGTATTTATCTTATTTATATTTTATGCATCGTGTTTATTATATAATTTTGAAAAAAATATCATAGATGGATTAATGAAAATGTGTATATTAACGTAATATACGACATTTAAATAACTCTATGATTATTATTATCATTACTAATATGACGTCTGGAGACATAAGACACTTACCGATTTTAATGTGTACCTGCATGCCAGCACAGTATGTAAGTTTATTTAGGTACAGGTATACATAAGTATAATTATCAGAGTATATATAAAATATGAAATAACTTTTAAAAACATTTGAAATTTTGGAGTTTCCAGACAAAATGGAGAGACTTAGTGCTTACTGAGCTCACGGAGAATGTAAACAAACAGGGTGGGGCACGGTGACCATATTAGAAAATCAGGTGAGGGGAGCCGTATAGCGAGTTTTGGTCATAATTTGAAATGACCGTATTAGCGGAACGCCGTAAAGTGAAACGCCGTAAAGCGGGGCCCTCCTGTATATTCAAATATTCTGTTTACTTTTATAACAGTGTTGCTTTTTTTATTGTTTGAAGTTATAGCTAGACTAACAACAGCACTTAATACATTAGTTAAAGTAACAGTTCTGGCCACTTTGATTGGTAAGATGCATTTTTTACTTTGATGGTTCTTGAGTTGCACCATATTCTGATGTATAACCATGTTTTATAGCTGAATTGCTAGGCTCCAATTAGTATTTTTGCATTGCATTATGAAACTGTTAAATCCTTGCTAGTATATCTAATTACCCTCTAGCTGGACTTGATAGGGGAGTGTATTTGAAAAAATACACTTATGCTTGTGAGTGTAAATGAAAGCATTACTTATGTCTGTGAGTGTAAATGAATGCATTACTTATGCCTGCTAGAAAAACTGTTAATAAGGTTGTATATCAGTGATTTCATTGGTGTCACACTAAAAATATGCTTCTCCTGGCTATAAATACAAGTATGCCTGGTTATGGCTGGCTCACCAGGTTCCAGGTACACCATGGTATTCATCATATTCATCAGCTTTAAACATCAGATGAAAAACTGTATAGATTTTTTAGTTGCTTAGGAATATATAGATGACTGTTAGTGTGGTCTCAGAATGCAAGTTAGTTCCAGATGAAAGCTGTAACACAGATGAGAGTAATATACCAGAAAGATTTCACAAAATATGTGGATGTTTGTTGAGAGTGTAGAAAAAACTATTGAGTTTCCAAGCCCATAGGATGATTACCACATGGCAGCTAAAAGTGTACAATTATAGCTCCCATCATCCACATTACTGCCAAGTCTGCCTCATTTTTTGTTATAGTGTCAGACTCCCAAAGTGCATTGCAAGCACAGGTCTTTGATTCCTTATATCTTGTCCTTTTCTTGTTGATGCTAGCTTTGTTATGTTCGAGCTTCAGTAAGAATGAAAAAGTCATCTGTGTAGGGGTCCCTGTCTATCCGGAAAACTGGACTCTCTGAGAAACACTGTCAGATTTCTCAGTCTCCTGCGGTTGTAAACCCCCCAAACTTTTTTTGAAATCCTACAGATCTTTTGAAATCACGGAAATGGGGGGGCTAAATGGTGACCAATGGTTTTATTAAAACTCAATGGCTTCATTTTATCATTTTCCCTTTTGGGGAACGTACTTTTTAAAAATTGCTTGGCTATCAGTTTTTAATCATGGTCATTTCACTGAGGGACCCTTTTCACCACTCTGCTTTTCTGGGTTGCCTGCATCTCTTTTATGAAGATGAACAGAAATTTGTGTCTTACTATCCCTTCAGTCCCCTGCCTTTCTTACTGTTTCCCCCTTTCTAAAAGTCCATTTTTAATGCTTTTTCTACCAATGAACTACTGCATCAATAATTTCTTTTTCCTCTTCTCACTTTTCCTACCTTTTTAAATTTTAAAGTTCCAACCCTTCACAAGCAGTAGGGAAGCCCTCGGGGGATTTGGGGGCTTCAGTGCTACAAAAATGCAAAAAATCTAATAAAATGGTGACTTTTAAATGTTGAGGAGAAAGGGAGGCGTAATTTCATGACTGGCCGGGAGGTTATACCATCTTTTGGAGTGAAGAAAGGGAAATGTAAGTGGGTGGAGGTACTAGGCATTACGAATGAAGGGGGTAAAAGCAGCTGGAACTGATCTTCATGACAGAAATGTTAAAAGCGGGGGGATTATTTGGAGTGGGGGGGTACTTTTGTTTTAAAAAATGTAGAAAGAGGGGGGGTCCTAGGGATTGGAGGAGAGTATTATGTCCTTTTTTATAAAGGAAAAAAGGGCAAAAGAGATTGTAAAAATTATAGAGGAATAAGTTTACTATATACCAGGGAAAATATAGGTAGGGATAATTGAAAGAAAATTAGAGTAAGACAGAAGTAGGATTGTGGAAGCAGGGAGGGTTTAGAGTGGGTAGGGGATTGAGATCAGGTGTTTACATTTAAAACATATATGTGAACAGTATTTAGTAAAGGTAGGGAATTTTTTTTTTGCAAAATTTTGGGTTTTAAAAAAACATATGATAAGGGATAGAGGGGCAATGTGGCAGTTTCAAGTATATGGAATAGGTGGTAAGTTACTAAATGCTGTAAAGAGCTTTTATGAGGATAGTGAGGCTCAGGTTAGGGTATGTAGAAGAGAGGGAGAATACTTCCCGGTAAAAGTAGGTCTTAGACAGGGATGTGTAATGTCACCATGGTTGTTTAATATATTATAGATGGGGTTGTAAAAGAAGTAAATGCTAGGGTGTTCGGGAGAGGGGTGGGATTAAATTATGGGAATCAAATTCAAAATGGGAATTGACACAGTTACTTTTTGCTGATGATACTGTGCTTATGGGAGAGTCTAAAAGAAAAATTGCAAAGGTTAGTGGATGAGTTTGAGAATGTGTGTAAAGGTAGAAAGTTGAAAGTGAACATAGAAAAGAGTAAGGTGATGAGGGTATCAAATGATTTAGATAAAGAAAAATTGGATATCAATTGGGGAGGAGGAGTATGGAAGAAGTGAATGTTTTCAGATAATTGGGAGTTGACGTGTCGGCAGATGGATTTATGAAGGATAAGGTTAATCATAGAATTGATGAGGGAAAAAAGGTGAGTGGTGCGTTGAGGTATATGTGGAGTCAAAAAACATTATCTATGGAGGCAAGAAGGGAATGTATGAAAGTATAGTAGTACCAACACTCTTATATGGATGTGAAGCTTGGGTGGTAAATGCAGCAGCGAGGAGATGGTTGGAGGCAGTGGAGATGTCCTGTCTAAGGGCAATGTGTGGTGTAAATATTATGCAGAAAATTCGGAGTGTGAAAATTAGGAGAAGGTGTGGAGTTAATAAAAGCATTAGTCAGAGGGCAGAAGAGGGTTGTTGAGGTGGTTTGGTCATTTAGAGAGAATGGATAAAAGTAGAATGACATGGAAAGCATATAAATCTATAGGGGAAGGAAGGAAGGGGTAGGGGTCATCCTCGAAAGGGTTGGAAAGAGGGTAAAGGAGGTTTTGTGGCAAGGGCTTGGACTTCCAGCAAGCGTGCATGAGCGTGTTAGATAGGAGTGAATGGAGGTGAATGATACTTGGGACCTGACGATCTGTTGGAGTGTGAGCAGGGTAATATTTAGTGAAGGATTCAGGGAAACCGGTTATTTTCATATAGTCGGACTTGAGTCCTGGAAATGGGAAGTACAATGCCTGCACTTTAAAGGAGGGGTTTGGGATATTGGCAGTTTGGAGGGATATGTTGTGTATCTTTATACATATATGCTTCTAAACTGTTGTATTCTGAGCACCTCTGCAAAAGCAGTGATAATGTGTGAGTGTGGTGAAAGTGTTGAATGATGATGAAAGTATTTTCTTTTTTGGGATTTTCTTTCTTTTTTGGGTCACCCTGCCTCGGTGGGAGACAGCCGACTTGTTGAAAAAAAAAAAATAATGGTGATAATGACACTAATTTCAACAAAGTCCTTTATTGGTATATCATTTCACCCACAGGTGGCCCTTTTCAAGCACATTCACCTATGGGTGAAATGTACAAGTAATGGACATCACAGCATTTTGTGTCTTAATCTCCATTTGACAAAGTATTTTATTCCTCACTGCCATCAGATTACGAGTGGCCAGTCTTAGTGAGCACATAGATCGCGATGGTGGTGAAGATAACAATATGCTCACAGATTTCTTGCGAGATTTCCAAGAGAAGATGTGTATCCAAGGCTACAGGACTCGCCAAAATGAAGACACATTGAACTAAATAAATGAAGTTGTACATTAGAATTATAAACTAGTATTGTATTCTTAAAGCTAGAGGAATTAGTTATATCTTCTTAATCTTGTTTGCCTTCTGCATCTAAAGCAGTGCCACCTGAAGTGATGAGAGTGACTTTACTGTGTAGTAGATATTACATCAATGTTAAATTTTATTACTTTTAGAATTAAGATTTTCACATCAGATACAGTGGACACTCATAATTTGTGTGGGTTATGTTTCTGAAAACTATGCTGTGAATGATTTCTATGACTTTTGGAATGAAAAACATGGGGAAAAAATAGGGTTGCATTCATCAGACCTCTATTGCTAAGACTCGGGGTATGCAAGTTATTGGCATAGTCTAAGAGTTTATTTCTTTTAAAACATTATTGGTATAGAATAATAAGTTGATGAATTAGACATGGGTGCAACACCTGGATGTCTTTATTTTGAAGAAGTTTCACCAACCAGTGCCTTCTTCAGTTCACTGGAGCTTATTAAATTGGAGACAGCATATTCCTTCCACAGAAAGTGGGAAGCATGAACATGAATTACCTTCAAATCCATCAGCACTTTAAACATCATACAGTATTTTTTGTTGCACACTCATTCTTGTTTTAAATAGGGTAAAGAGTGAAAAGAAAGAGTTTTATCTAATCTTCCTTTTCCTTGCTCCTTGTCACTATAGAAGTATGTTGATGTAGTTGATGTGGTCCTTATCTGTGGCCTTCGTCTTCGTTACACATATGTACATCATAAATGCTACACAATTTTCTATTTTTAATAGTTTTCACACTGTATTACCGATGGCCAATATATTCAATAATTATATAAATGCAGCCAGCATGCATAAATGATAATTAAGGCAGAAGAATGTGTAATTGTGTTACAGTAGTAACCTGCCAGCTGTAATAACCACCTCCACCTCCTGTCTTTACTCTAACCACAATTTTCTTAGAAATTGTAAGAGTTTCATACCTAAACTGGCACCTCTAGCATAAGTTTTATTTATTTGGATGCCATGATTAATATCCAGAGGCAAAGCAAGGTGATATGAATGAAAATGGGACACAGAACCACAGAGAGTCTATTGTATGGTACGTATGTATCCAGACTAACAACTAGTTTGCTTACAACAAGCAGTTATGTTAGGTCTCCCCCACACCAAAATAGCGACTGCCTAAGGGATGGAGGAACGCTCCAAAACGGTATTGCACTCCATTAATTCTGCCCTGATGCACCTTAATGGTAATGGCTCAGTGCTATTGGAAATTAAAAAGTAAATTTAAATCACAGAATACTGAAAACATGAGCTATGATCACACAACTTACGGGTGTCCACTGTATAAAAAAAAAACTAATTTCTAGGAGGCTTTATGGAATGGGATACTGTACTATGTCTCAACAAAATATTAGTCAACCATGTTGGCTAATATACACTCAAATGTAAATACATTATAACAGTCTCAGATTTTATATATATTTTTATTGTTTATCATAATGATTTATATCAAAATATTTCCTATAATTACTCCATGTGGTGGGTATTAACACCCACAAGATTCTCAGTTCAAGAATTCCTACTTGCCTTTTCACTGTACAGTTTTCCTGTTGATAGGAGATATAGACACACATAAAATATATTACACTTTTAAAGATTTTTTTTTTTATAGCCAGTATTATTTCTTTTGAAAATCAGTGGCAATGTTTTGTACTGCTATGTGATAACCAAAATATGGACTGAAGTAAGTGTATGTTAGCATTAAATATTCACTGATTTGCTTCAACTGAATCTATATAATTTATATCAAAGAAACTGTGAATGTGTTTCAGAACCCAGGAAAGGCTAGAAGGCACTATAATGTGAAAATATTTAAAATGCTGTATAGTATTCTTATTGCTAAATTAACAAAGTTTATCGACATAAATATGAAAATAGATTAAGGAAATTCTTTTTTATGCCTAGGAAGTACTAGCCAGAGAACGTGAAAGAACTCTTAAGAGTGATGGGTCCACCACAAGCAAGTTAAAGATTTTAATGCTCAGTGACAGCATAGTGATATATGTATTAACCCTTAAACTGTCCAAATATAGATCTGTGTTTGCACGCATAGTGCTCCTAACGTAAATCTACGTTTTTTTTTACATAATGTAAAATCGAACGTAGATCTACATTCAGAGCGCTACACGTGTGAACGTAGATCTGCGTTTGGACTGTTTAAGGGTTAATGTGGGACAAAGATAGCATGTATTTATTACATCAGATGGAAATTGTGATAGACTTAAATTTATTTAATGATACATATATGGAGCAAACTGTAAAAGCTGAATATGTATCATATTATCAGTGTGCATGCTGTTGAACTGTTACATGCATTAGCAAAATGCATGCATCTCTTTGGAAACACATTTGATAAGTGAAGGTGCTACATACAGTATTGTGATTGTCAAACTGTTCCTTGGCAATTTTATCATTTCTCTTGTAGTTAATGTTCTGAAATGTGAAAGCATTTCAAGACTTATGGAAAAATGAAGTACACTGTGGGAATATCATTCAGGGAATCTGTTTGTTCAGTGTCCATACTTTTTGGTTGATTTGGATTAAATTCTTTTTGTATGGGTATTCATTCTTTGGCATATTTTTAATTGGACACCATACTTTTAAACATAGTCAGTTCCTTATTTATTAAGTAATCATTGAACTGATTGCAGCAAGAACTAGCATTCAAGATTGCTATTAGACAGTTCACATTTGTTTAATTTATGGATGTTGATTCATGAAGTCCTAGTTGCCATGTATGGTTAGTGTGAGTGATGGTGAAAGTGTGTCTTTTTCACCTTGCCTCAGTGGGAGATGGCTGGGTGTGTTTAAAAATATATATATATACATGTATCTATATATATATTACTTAGATAAACAGACCAGGCCATGGGGGCATTGACCCCTGAAACCCTCTCCAGGTACTATAATACCTGTGGATATGTAGTTAGTTATGCTATACTAAATTTGATAAATCACAAATTCCATGAAACAGATTGCTGAAAATTTCAGGACATCTCAGTTATAAGACTAACTGCACTTCAGGGTGAGTGTTTTATATTCAAAGTTTTTAAAATTTCCTATTTATGGTCATCAATAGTTAATTTTTTTTTTTTTTTGAATTGGTAGTCATTAGCAAACTATATTAATGGTATAGCTCACAATAAAAGTGATTGCTTTAAATGTGATGCACTGCAAATTTTTAATATCACCAAGTGTGACTGCACAGGTATTATGTCAGCCATCATCGCCATCTTGGTTGTTCCATTGTAGATTTTGTCATTAAGAAAACACTGTTTTTTTTTCTTCACACTTGTTTATGCATGTCATTGTGATATGGTGATGGTAAGACCAGTTAATAATGATATTGTGTAGGAATATATGCCTAAAGTACCTAAATATTTTTTTTACTATTTTGTTCCCCCCATGATAGTTAACCTAAAAAAAAAAAATATTCACCATCATTCATTTAGTATCTGGTTTCCTAAAACTGTGCAGACATCACAGTTCATATTGCTAAGACATTATAATGATGACCCATACCCAAGACTAATAATTAGGAATTTTTTCTTTTAGATCTAAGTAAGAAAAATCAAGCCTCTGTAACTTGATTACAGAATTTGTGCTTTCAGGCAAGAATGATTTATCTTATATTTCAAATTACAGTACCTATATAATGGATTCATTTATTAAATAGAATGCTTATAAAACAAGAATAATTGTTATAGCTTAGTATGAAAGACCTTCACAGTACTGTGTAACTACTACAGGAACAGACCCTATAATATGGTACCCCAACAGTCTTTCACAGTACTGTGTATCTACTATAGGAACAGACCCTACAATATGGTACCCTAACAAAGACCTTCACAGTACTGAGTATCTACTACAGGAACAGATCCTACAATATGGTACCCCTAACATCTGGAATTCTCTCCAAACAATCAGTATTCAAATTAAGACTGTATTGAAATCCATAAAGAACACCAAGCCTTAAGCTCAGCAAAGACCATGTCTCGTATTATGCTGTGCTAATTCTTACAGTATACACCACTTGAAACTGATGGTCACTGGCCAGTCAACACAGCCACAGGCTTTAAAGGATTATATGAGAGTTGCCTGTCAATAATTATAAGGTTCAACACGGATGTATTGACTGTTATAAATACGTTTCGTCCCTGAAGCATACAAGCACCAACTAGAGTACATACCTTGAAACCAATGCAGCCAAGACCTTTCTGTTGTTTGATCATATTCTACATCTCCCAAGCCCTTTGAAAGTAGGCCTGAACCATCTACATCTTCTCAACCATCTGTGTCTTCCATACCATCATCCTGTATATCTCCTACATCATCTGTGATATTGCTGGACCTTTACAGCTCCTTTGACTAAATAAAAGTTATGCTAAGTTACCACTGTACAGCACAGGAATCCAACTGTAATCTCATCTATTCAGAAGAAAAAGTAAGAAAAATTACTTGTTGTATTGTACAATTAACATTTTTTATCATCAGGTCCAAGTCAGACCGAAACATCATCATAAGCTTCCCTCTCCTATGTGCAAGTTATTTGTGTGTTGTTCCAGCCATGGTATTTTGCTTTTTTGTTTTTTTACTGTACTCTATTATAATGTTACAGATTATTCATTATATGTCCTATAGTACCATCAGTGCAGTAGACTTAAGTTCGCTGCATTGGGTATTTATTTCCTGTAGTACGTACATCAATGCAACGGATGTAGTCTATTGCATGAGTCACTTCCAGACGAGATTTTCGTTAAAGCAAACACCCTCTTCTTCCTATTAATTTGTTACACTGAGGATCCACTGTATAAGGATGGCAAAATAGGCAGAAAAGGTGCTTATAGACAATATGTGGCACTATGTGGATGTTTAACCATTGATTTGAGCAAAAATTTCATGTTAAACAGCAAATAAGTGTGTTTAAATATACAGCAAATAACAGAAAAGCTAAAATCATGAAAATTTATACATATCTTCATGAGAGCAGCTGAACAAGAGTGCTAAAGCTATTACCAGTGACAGGCAGCCATCAAGCCCTGAAAATCTTGAGTGAATTATGCAGATCAGGCATTTTAGCTGAAGACCTGTTCCAGAGACTAGCCCAGATGTCAGATGTAATATTCCCTGCACTCGCTCATTCCTGTATATCTTCATTTAGAAGCAGAATTAAGGATGATACAAGATTAAATAATTATGAATACATTACAGATATGTGAGTGTGTTAGGAGTGAATGGAGACGAATGGTTTTTGGGACCTGATGAGCTGTTGGAGTGTGAGCAGGGTGTTATTTAGTGAAGGGATTCAGGGAAACCGGTTACTTATATATAACCGGACTTGAGTCCTGGAAACGGGAAGTACAGTGCCTGCACTTTAAAGGAGGGGTTTGGGATATTGGCAGTTTGGAGGGATATGTTGTGTATCTTTGTACGTATATGCTTCTAAACTGTTGTATTCTGAGCAAAAACAGTGATTATGTGTGAGTGAGGTGAAAGCGTTGAATGATGATGAAAGTATTTTCTTTTTTGGGGATTTTCTTTCTTTTTGGGTCACCATGCCTCGGTTGTAGACGGCTGACTTGTTAAAAAAAAAATATTATTATTATTTGTTATATGCCTATTTCTTTAAAAACTGGGAAATGACATTATTCCCAATGGTGCCAGAATTAAGGATTCGTTCCTGTGTATATTTATTCTATAAGAATGAAAAATAATGGTGTATGGTCATTCCATATGTTTAGTAGTTACTGACCAGCATTTAATTATGCTATATAAATACATTGAAAAAAAAAAAGATTTGTTTATGAAATCTGGCAAAAATGTTAATAAACAAGAGTAAGAATAGAATAAGTGTTTAGGCATCAGGTTTCATAATACTTTACTGTATGACATAGATATAAATACATACCATACATAATTTTCTAGATTACAACTTTAAGTGAAAACTTGTATTACAGTTCTACTCCTTAAAAACATCCACATGGGACCATAATCACTAGTGGGGTCCCACACTGCTTAGTATCTGTCTTTACCTGATAATAACAGTACAGGTAATTGATATATGTAAATTACTTTCTAGCAGAAATAACTATGTATATATAAGTATGATTAGATATACTGTAATACAAAAATCTAATGCAAAGTAAAAATTTAAAAGGTTAAATCCTTGCAGAAAGATTTGAATAAATTGAGCAGGTGGAGTGATTTTGAAATGTTGATAGTTCAGATCATGTACTATATTGCAAATGTTTGAAAGTGGAAAACTAAATTGTATTATTGCATTATAATTTAGTAATTCCTCTGGTAACTTTTGTACAGTAAATAAGTTTGATCATTGTGGAACCCCACTGATGGCTTTACCCTTCGTGATGCTTTTTTTTTTTTTTCCTTGAATCACTATTCCAATTTTATATGTAAAAATTCTTGGCCAGTCCAGTATCTCCCCCTTTCCTATTTTTGATAACTTTCTTATTAATGTTTCATGGTGAGTCCCCTAATTTTGTGAATGTTGTAATAACACAGCAGGTTAGGTATACAAATCAGGTAACAAAGTTCTTTACACTGCTGCTTTATCTAAAATTATTCTATCTGGTCCCACTGCTTAATTTTTGCAAGTGTCAATCAACAGTATCCTTGACCACTTCCCTTGTTTTTATGGTACTCGTTTTGGTTGTTTGTTGGGAACGCAGCGCCTCATTAAAATTATTCTCTTGTAAATATGCTAGTGGGTTTAGTGCTTCTTTTTTTATTATAATAATAATCTTGTAAATATAGTACACAAAAATTTCATGTTCAGTATTTTCTACATTTCTTATACTCATTTCTTTGTATTTTAACATTTATAATAAACATGTTTTAAGTACTGCATTTATAAAGGGATCTGATTCTGTTTCATTCATTTCTACAATTTTTTTTTTTAAGTATCTTATTATACTGTACTGTACTTATTTCTAGCTCAGTTGAATTGGCTGCAAGTTTATAGATGTTATTGCTTTCCTTGTTGTTCCAAGCTCTTTCCTAGCCATGGCACTGCTTTACAAGTGTCATTTAATTCGATAAGTGTTTGCCAGTTCCTCATTTATGTTTTCTTTATTTAGTAAGGTAGACACATTACAATAGTACTACGTTTTAAATGCAAATGAATTGCACTATTTTGTTAGCTTGTAGAAATATTAATTAACACTGACATGACTTTAGCCATTACTGCATAGCATTTCCTGTAGAAGCTGAAACAGGTGTCCTTCACCTGATGCAATAGCTGCATTCCAGGCCCATGGTAGCAGTCCTCTTTTTTTTTAATCATGCTATCAGCACTCAGTTCTACATAATCTTTATACACTTTGCAAACTGCACTAATCATGAGGCAAATGAATATTGCAAATGAGGAATTACTGATAAAATGCAGTCATGTAATAAATTTACATTAAGAGAAGGAAACATGTACTTTCTTACACATCTGTCAAAATAACCCTTCCCATTTTTTCACTTGTTTATTAAGGATAAGACAGAGAGCAGGATTGCACATCCTCATTGTTTAGCACTCTATGACCCACTTTCTTACTAATTTGGCCCTTCCACTGCATCAAAGAATATGGAGTATCAGAAACAGAGATGTATTATTTTGATATGCAGTAATGGTGGAAGTAAGAGGTTTGAAAAAAAAAAAATGTGGAACAACACAAATATGTGATGTTGAAGATAATGACCTCTTCAAGGGGGGCTCCTTGGCGTGGTGAAGAGGCTCTTGGTCTGAGGAATTAGACCTGTCGGTCTACTTCCTCAGACCGAACCTAATTACCCCCCAATCCCCCGTTCCCTATCCCATCCTCCCCTTTTTCCTTTCCTCCTCCTCCTCCCCACCCCTCCCTTTTGCCCTTCCTTTTTGGCCTTTTTTTCCCCACAGGCATGCTAGTTCCTAGGTAGGGGAAAGGGTACCGGGGTCCATCCCATTCCGTTGAGGTTCTTGGCGGTGGCGTAGTTTACCGTGGAATCTGGATTGCCTGGGGGTGTCCTGATCCCTCCAGTATCCCGGAGGGTGGCTTTGGGTGTCTCTCGGGCGACGGGTGTATCTCTGGAAGCCACCTTTCGGATTCCGGGGGTGGTGGCCGAAGGAGGTATGCTTTGTGGCGGATTTCCGGCCGCCCTCTCTTTTGTCCACCGAGGTAACTCGGCAGATGTGAGGTTGCTATCCCAGATTGCTGGTTTACTGGCATGATGGGTAGGGTATGGCACGGGTTCCATGCTGCATCTGCGCTACTTGCAGTGCTGAGGTCCTCTTGGGCGCGGAGGGAGATTTCTGGCCCTTTCATTCCTCGTAGGAACTATCCCTCTCCGGTCCCCCCTTTTTTTATTCTTTTTTTTTATTTTTATTTTCTTCTTTCTTTTTTTTCTTAAAAACAAAAAGAAAGAAGTAACCTAACCATGGCAGCCCTAGTCCATGAAC